TCAACCGGAGCTATTCTAGTACAACCTAGTACAACAATATTAATAAATATTAGACGAAAATTCATTATCAAATATGTAAAAAAAACTCCTGTTCTTCGATTTTATATACAAATGATTTATTTTTGGGACGTATGATTATGTTCTCAAAATCATTAGTTAGAATTTTCATTTTACGGAATTTCATTTGTCATAATTATTTTTGAGCCGAATTTTTATTTGTTCTATAATTATAGCATTTTACAGAATTTTCATCAAAACGATTTTCTATATTATAGAATATTTATATAACCAAAAATTCACTTTACAGAATTTTTATTTTTTCGAATTTTTCTTTGTCAAAATTTTCATTTAACATAATAGGCATTTTAAAGAATTTTTATTGGGTAGAATTTCATTGAATAGAATTTTTTTCAGATAAATTTTCATTTGTTCGAATTTTTGTTTGATATAATTTCCATATAACCGATTTTTCATACTACTGAATTTTTACTTAACCGAAAAGTTATTTAACAGAATTTCTAATTGATAGAATTTTCATTTGTCCGAAATTGCAAATGGCCGAACAAACAATCGAATTCGGCGCGATTTTTAAAATCAATCAACCACAATTTTATAGATAATTTTTTGATTGGTTGATTTTAAAAATAACGCCAAAATCGATTGTTGTTTCGGCCATTTGCAATTTCGGACAAATGAAAATTCTAATAATTAGAAATTCTGTTAAATGATTTTTCGGTTAAGTAAAAATTCTATAGTATGAAAAATCAGTTATATTGAAATTGTATCAAATTAAAATTCGAAAAAATGAAAATTCATCTGAAAGAATAAAAATGAAAATTCTATGCAATGAAATTTTATCCAATAAAAATTCTTTAAAATGCCTATTATGTTAAAGGAAATTCGAGCAAATAAAATTTCTATGAAGTGAACATTAAAAAAAATTGACAAAAAACAAATAAAGAAATAAGAAACTTGTAAAAGTGACGTACCTAACCTATAACATTCGCTAAAAATTACAATTTGACATCACAATAAAAGTAATAATTTTGCTCACCAGTAATAAAATCACTTGTTATCCTCACAATTCACAGATTGTCTTTTTCGCACTGTCACTGATTATTACAAACTTTCGTAAACACAAATTGTTAATACTTTAATTTAAAACCGATCAGCAATCTAAATCTTGTATATGTTTACATAAAATGCTTCGCAATGATTCGTGCCGACACGAAATGTACCGAACGTGCAATTTACTGCTGAAGTCAGCGAGTTACTATTAAACTGTTGTAACTAGCACTACTTGAATTTAGTAGTTTTACATAGCAGTGACGTCACACGAAATGCTCCCCTTTCATCATTCGATTCACCCAGGTGATTTAAAAATACTGTCAGCCATGACACTTTACTATCCGAAGTTTCTTAGCTACTGCGCATGCGTAACTAGAAAGAGACAAACATTGGTTCTATTTTCTATCTCTTTTTATCCTACACAGACCCTTACGGCAAAATCTTTTGCTTACTTCATTTACATTATTTACAGATCTTTTTTTTTCAAAAACGGAATATTTTTGAGAATTTATCAACAAAATCAAATAATTGACTTTAAATTTTCACTCTCTAAAAAAGAAAAAGGAATTAAGTATATGTAAGAGCAGGAGAATCGAGTGTATTGACGCACACGCCCGGTAGCAATTTATTCCCATTAACTGATGTTGTCGGTGGTATTGAAACCTTGCCACCGTAATCTGCATTCATTTGAATAAATATCCGATCAGTAACTATATAATAATAAGCATATCCCAATCGCTACTGGTTTGTCATCTTAGCAATATTGTGATAAACTGTGTGTAAAAAAATTTATCTTCAAACCAGGTGGTAAATGCCTGGTCCGTAAACAACAAATTAGTATTAAATAGAGGTGTTTAACAGGAATTTTTTTTTTTTTTTTTTCTTTTGTCGAAATTTTTCGTCAACGTTAATATCATAAAATATATGCATTTCTGTTGCTATACATGAATACCACACTGGATGAACGCGGGGTCCAAACCAATTTGTGACTGACGAGGCGATTGGTAATAAGCAACAGGGACTCAAATTGCTTGAGTTTTTCTGCGGTCGTTCATTGGGTGTTGTCGTCGGTTCTTTCTTTCTCTGTTTTTTTTTATCCTCTCGCAGTACCTCCTGAGAATTGCATGTATATCATCATCTCATTCTAACGTGAAGAGAAGAAAGATCCGATCCCATTAACCGGGGCCCCCGGGTCCCCGCCTTCTCATATATATATGTGTGTGTCTCTCTGTTCATCGGAGAGGAAGCCTGATAGGCAGCTACGAGTCTCTTGTATTATAAACGCGCAGTCCTCCCGTGGACGTGTTGTAATTTTCTCGAGAGACAATAGATCCATATGTGCAAAAAATAAAAAAGACCAGAGGCCACAATATCAAAAAAAAAAATGGAACATTATTTTCAATACCTTAAAAAAAAAAATAATCACCCAAAAATTTATCCTTTTAGCTCAACAGTGATTATAGACAATAAAATCTTTTATAAATCATGATAAAACGCTAAAAATGAGATTTAGTGTGAAAAAAAGAAGAAAATGAAAAAGATTACCAATGATTCCTGGAAGCTAGGGGGTCTAATTGGTGTTGAGGACGAAGCGGGACCATAAACTGTCGCCTGCAATCAGAGGAGCGCGACTTTAGCCCGCGGCTGCTTTCTCGTAATACGAAGTCTTGAGTTTTATAAAGAAGAGAAAAGGGGGCTGTGCTACGAACATATATATATATACAACGGGCCAAGTTCCGTGTACGAATTTACATTTAAAAAATATAATGAAGCAGCGTGAAGCGACCACTATAGTCGTTCTTGGGAGATGACAGACGGTTTCGGACCCCCAACCTCTATCTTGAAAGCGCGCTTCGGCCAATATGAAACAAAGAGCGAGAGAGAAAAGAGACCCATCTTAAAAGAGCACCGGGACTTAATGACATCGGGGTCCGTGGACAGTGGTTTTCATTAGTGGTTCTTATGCAGGGCTGTTAGCGCCAATCGATCGATCTATACCACCATCAAGGAAAAAAAAAAAAACAACACAAGAAAGAAAAAAGAGACTCGGTCTCGCAAATCGATTTCTCGTCGTAAATCATTTCACCGAGGGCGTATCAGCGTGACCAACCTCCTCATATATATATATAGTTTTCGTGGAAGGAAAAACCTATACGCATTTATATATATAGCGAGATGAACAAAAGACCGTGAAACACGACGAGAATTGTCTCACAACTTTTTATTCTATCTCTTTTTTTTTTGCTTTGTCATTAATTAGTTATGAATTTGCCGATTATATATATATATGAGGCAAAATTTCTGAAGTGATACAATTTTTAAAATGAAGGTTTTCGAATTGGGATGAAATTTGCACGCAAACTTTAGTACGGCATTGAAAAAAAAATTTATTTGATTTAAATAATCGGTTATTTGACTATTATCAAATAAATATTTATTTGAAACAAATAATTTTTATTTGAATTAAATAAACTTTATTTGAATCAATAATTTCGATATTTGAAGGAAATATACTATTTAATTTACTCAATAATAATTATTTGATACAAATAAATATTTATTTGATAATAGTCAAGTAACTGATTATTTGAATCGAATATACATTTTTTTCAGTGTATGGCTATAACACTGTGTCCGACACGTGTTTTGTCCCACAAAAAAATTAAACATTTTCGGAAACTAGGACCAAAAAAAATACCCGCGTCTGGCCGTATTCGTAGTTCAAGTCGTTTGTGGTTTTTAGGGAAGAAAACAACCCCTAAATGAAAAGTGACGAGATATCTATCAAAAATTATTAATATTTTATTAAACTTGGTATATCTGAGGGTTTTCAGGGTCGCTGATTATGAATCTGATGTCAGATTTTCAAAATTTAAAATGGCGGATCTAATATGGCAGTCAAAATTTTAAAAAGTTACAGTGAAACCCACGTATATTGGACCCTGTTATTCAAGAAACCCGCTTACATCGCACCAATTTTGAGACCCTGTAAATTAAATTTTTCTCCTATATATCGGATTAGTTGTTTAAATTTAAATAAAAAAGTTTTAGCAAATTTATTATTCAGTATGTCTTACCGACTGATGGTAAAGAATTTTTTTTGGAAAATGCTAATATAAAAAATTACCGACATAGAAATCTACCTTACCGATTGGTAAGAAAACAGGTTTTTTTGGAAAATGCTAATATAAAAAATTACCGACACAGAAATCTACCTTACCGATTGATGGTAAAGAAATTTTTTTTGAAAAATTAAAGTATAAGAAATACCGACACAGAAATCTACCTTACATACTGATGGTAAAACAGTTTCGAAAAGGTTGATAAAATTAAAAAACATACTTTACCATCAGTTGGTAAGGTAGAATTCTGTGTCGGTAATTTTTATATTTTCATTTTTCAAAAAAAAATTACCATCAGCCCTCCACAGCACGGAAAATTTCCTAAAGATTTATTTGAAATATTCGAAATATTTAATTGCAAAGTTTAGTGAAAATTGTGTATAGATTTAAATGTCCGACCTAAATAAATGTATTGTGCGAAACTTTCCTGAACATTTATTTAATCGGGACATTTAAATCTTTACACAATTTTCACTAAACTTTTCAATTAAATATTTCGAACATTTTAAATAAATCTTTAGGAAAATTTCGGTGCTGTGGGGGTCGGTAAGGTAAATTTCTAGATCGGTAATTGTTTGTATTTTTATTTTTCCAAAATTTTTACTTATATTCAACGGAATCGCATAATTAGCATTCGATGTACGTGGGTTTGACTGTATTAATTTTTTATAAAACTTGGTATCTAGGGGTTTTTGGGTCACAAATATTAACATGGCAGATAGCTATTATTTTTCAGTTTTTTCAAAGGAACTTTTTTTTATTTAATTTTTTTTCTTAATATTAATAATACTATATATATTATTTACTTACAATTAACTGCAGAGGTTGAAACGGTTGAGACTGTCAAAATTAGGCCTTAGAAGAATTATTTTAAAAATTTCCACACCGCCGTTTTTTAACTTAATTCGTTTTCACTTTATCTCACTTTATTGTATCGATTCTCACTGTAATTAATAATAATATTACATTAGTAGAATTTAATTTCACAAAAGACGAAAAATAAATAACACGTGCAAATAGACAGTACAACCATTGAGTAAAATTGTTATAGAGAGCGAGAGAGAGAGGCACGCGCAGCTTGTTAATAAAGTTCACTCCTCAACCGCTGGCGCTAGTGTCTAATAGGAAAGTTCCCTTTTTGGCGCGAACTATTTAAACTTTATTGCATCAACTTCTAAAATAATTTATAGTTTTTTTTTGTTTACTGAATTTTGTCGCATTTAAGATTGTATTCTAATTAAATTATAATTAATAACAATTATAGTATAATTATTCGATTAAAATAAAAAAAAAAAAACATAACTTCATTAATAATTTTACAAAATTATTTATAAACAGAGAAGAATTATAATTCCTCGTTTGTAAACGAATTTTGTAAAATTATCCGTGAACTTATATATATGTATATATATACAATATTTACAGCGTGACCAATTATCGAATAATAATTACATGGGACACTCTGTCACGCTGTATAAAGAATCGCGCAGGTGTTTTTATAAAATAAACTCATTAAACTGAAAAACATTAAGAAAACTAATTTACAGGAAGTTGAGGACTTAATCATCATCTCTCAGTGATCAGTTTTCAAACCAGAAAATATGACATCATTTAAGTTGTGTACAACATTAGTTGCTGGCGTACACAAAAGTCAAAATTGTAAATGTTTTAAAAGAGCCTTGGTTATTTTTCTTCGCCTCCTATATATATATATATTTTTTCTTTCTTTCTCTCTTTTATCTCCGTCTCTTGGAACAGCTCCAATACCAAAAAATCTACCCGTCCATCCATCTCACCGGGCAAAGAGGCGTGCTCCCTAATTATTATAATTATTTCTGACCGCGGCCGTGCAGACCGTAATTAACACAGCCTCGCCAGGACATCTTGACAGATCCGAATTCTCCGTAATGATAAAAAATAGCTGACCATAGCGAAGAGAACGAGACCGATGGCACGCTCAATTACAAAAGAAACCTAAAGTCCATCGACATATATATATATATATATATATATACACGGGGCGTTATATCCATTAGGGTGAAGTTGTAATTCGCGACCAAGGGGTTCATTCCGCTTGATGAAAATTGACCGAAAGTTATATAGATATATACAGAGAAAATTCCCGTTATATTGCCGTTATTCCAAATCACTGTTTCGCCATATAACCACAGAAGTAACTAGATCCAATTTGTATACATATATATACTCTTTTTTTTTCTTGAATCTGCCGCCTTGATTATTATATTGATTTGCATTTTTGAATTCATCATTTTCAAATTGGATCGATTTGAAAATAAGTTGCCGCGCACGCACAAACAAGGCGTCCAATTTCAATTTGAAATTGCCCCTGATCATCAGAAGAACATCGCGAGTAATTGCCTCTGCTTCTTATTTATAAAGCCCAGGACTCAAATAACGAAACGGAAGCCATTAAGGAATTTATTCCAAATGATCATTCATTTAATTTCTTTTCAATTGAAGCAGACACAGAGAAAAAAAAACAATTTCTGAAAATATAAGAAAAAATATATACATATATATATAGGAAGTGATCGAAAATGATACCTTCCCAAAAAAATAACGCACTTAAAAATAAGACTAATATAACAGACGTCGATCGATATAATTAAATCACCGAGAGTTATTCCCGTCACGCGTCCACGCAATTATAATTAAGGATTTATTAGTAGCTATATGGTATCCGCCTCTTCCCCCCTTTTTTTGGTCTCAAGAACCACAGAAACGCCTCTTTTTTTGGATGCCCTCTATAACAACTATAACAGGGTGGTAAGACTTCTTAAGGACCAAGAGAGCATCTTTTCTTTCATCTACCCCCCTGTCCCCTCACCCCCTATGCGTTTCTATATTACCTCTGGCATCCCTCTGTCTTCATCTCCCAAGAAATCCCTCTCTCGCCCTCAACCTTGCTCGAGGGAGAACAAATTAAAAACTGTCCCAGTGGCCGTAAATAAAACGCGGCCGGCATTCCGCCCATCTCAATATGGGTACGATTTTTTTCTTTCTAAAAAACAAAAAGAAGCCTCTAGACACGCACCTTAAGTGTTCTCTATACCGGGTGTGTCACGACCCACAAAAAATTTTTTTTTTTTTTATAATTTTTATGCTTTTTGTTTTTTTTTGTAGTATTCTTTTAGTATCCTCTCTATACTCACCATTTCAAAACTGTTTAGTAAAGACAAGAAACGTTTTCTGAATAACTCTATATATGGATCTTGAGAAGGGTTTATTATATTCTTATAATTAAAAAAAAAAAATTATTTTCTTGAGAGAAAGTATTATATTAAGCTATATATACAATTCAAAACGAAAAGTTTATATAAATTATATTATTTACAGTAGTAATAAATAACCTAATAATGAGTTTTGAATTTGGCGCGAAAAAAAGTAAAAGGTTGTGACATTCTATACCCAGGTGGCGCTTAGTGTATGTTCCAAAACTTTCAAGTTTCACGTCTATTTGCATAATTGTCTAATGCTTCTTGAAAGGTACAGTTATTCTGTTTTGCTACTTACTAAAGATTATTATTATTATTATTATTATTATTATTATTATTATTATAATCAGAATTAATAGAAAAATAATAATTAATATAATTAAATTACTTCGGAACTATTTGGTAAAATTTTAAATAACATTGTCAATGAAAATATGTTTAGAAATTCTTGTATTTGCATTACCGCAGGATTAAATAAAACATCAAAATAATAATTGTATGATGACTGATAGAAAGAGTTGCGCATAAAATATGCGCAAAAGTTACCTATGGAAATTTACTGACACGTTACACCTAACATCGGTCTGAGAAACTTCTGCATTTGACATTTTGTATTTTTGATTTGACAATCATACTTTGAAGGTTAATAATAATAATAATAATAATAATAATAATAATAATAATAATAATAATAATAATTTTAGTGGTAATAAATATAATAATATAGTAACAGTAATGATAACAATAGTAATTGTAATGATAAAAATAATAATAATTATTATTTAACATTATTGTTTTTACTATTATAATTATAATTATAGCAATAATGCCGACAATAATATTAGTGGTAATAAATATAATAATAATAATTATAATAATAATAGTTGTTATTATTATTATAGTAACATAATACGATAATATAATCTTTTTTTTATAAATAAGTTACAAAAAAAAAATTAAATACCTGTTTAAAAATAATGCTATCCTGAAAAAATTACACTTAAACATAAAAACAATGAAAATAAATTATTTTCTTATAAATGAAGAACGCGTTTATGATGACATTTATAATCTTCAAGTAACGTCATTTCAAGTTAACTTTAGAACAATTAATAAAACATCAGTCATTTTGCAAAATTATAATAGACAATAATATGACGAATCTTGATTGACGATAAACAAGTGAAGAATTATAAAAAAAATAATAATCATAAACCATCTTCTTCATTATCATAATTACTTATCGGAAGAATTAAACTCAAATGTTACTGTAAATTAATTAAAAACCTTCAGTTTTATAACAACAAAAAAAAAAGGAAAATTTCTTAACTTTAAGTAATGCTACAGTAATAATATTGTTTTTTTATCCTAAACTTGTATATATATAATCTTTACACTGAGAAAACAAAATAGTTGAGGCAACTAATAAAGTGGTTACGAATACCATTTTGCTTAGTAAACTTCTGCTAATTCGAAAGTCAATAATATCCATTTATAATAGTAAAAAGTTAAATAGTTGTCGTTACCATTTTATTAGTAAGGGGAACTTTTGCAAGTACCAACAACTAATAAATATTGTAAGAGATAACATTAATACTTACAACCGCAATTATTTATTTAATAATATTCACGTTCAAAAAAATATGTTTACTCTAACTTTCTTGTTATACCAAAAGATATAAATCTTATATTAAACATATTCTTTGTATGATGCGTATAATAATAAATAAATTTTATAGGTTAGGTTTATTAGTTGAATTGTTACTTACATTCAAAACGATCTACAAATTTTTCGAACCCCTATGAGATTAATAACTTCTGCAAATCCATGGCACCTTATTAACACTCTGTAAAATAATTTATAATTTATATAGAAATTATGTAATTATATAAAATGTATAAGAACATAAATACAAATGACCACGTTCTCTCACGACATTGCTTGATGAGCATGAGCCAGAGTTGCCAATGACCCTATCTAAACGCTCCTGCGCTTGCTCTACGACAACTCTCTTATAGGTCGAAAAAAGCGGGCTTATATAAAATGCTTAATAATAAGAAAACGTTAATAAAGCAATATAAAACTATTTTCACTAAATTGAATTTATTTTTTTTGGTAATTATATTGTTTCTTAATAAAAAAAATATTAATTTACTTAATGTACTTAAGTATGTAAAAATAATAATAATTATTATTATAATATTAATAATTTTATTATATTTATATCATTATTGTTATTATTTTGTTATAAAATATATAATCTATTATTATTATTATTATCAATTTAATATTTCTTAACTAAATATATAATATATTATTTATTTTTGTTATTATCATTAAATTGTTATTTATTTATTATCTATGATATATACATATATATTTTTTTAAAACTTTAGCGAAATTTTTTTGTACTTTTTTATGAGGAAAATTTGAATTGGGAAAAAAGTACAAAAATAATTCGATCCATTTTTTCGAAATGTATAGATATAATACATTCATAGATATTTAATAATAATTTATTGAAAATAATGATAATAATAATAATAGATTATGAATATTTTATTTAAAAATTAATTACAATAATGATATAAATATAATCAAATTATTATTATTATTATTATTATTATTATATACTTAAGTACATTAAGTAAATTAATATTTTTTTTTATTAGAAAGGAATATAATTAACAGAAAAAATAAATTCAATATTGAAAATAGTTTTATATTGCTTTATTAAAGTTTTCTTATTATTAAGCATTTTATATTAGCGCGCTTTTTCGACCTATAAGAGAGTTGTCGTAACGCAAGCGCAGTAGCGTTTATATAGGGTCATTGGCAACTCTGGCATGAGCGTGCTTTACAGTGTTGCCAACCGAAAATTTGTTCAATTAAACAAAATTGTTTTAGAATTATTTTAACGTATCAACAATTTTTTAATATTAATTTATTTTATTATTAATTTTTTTTCTAATAAAAAAAGTTCTTTTAAAGAAAAAAATTTTTTTTTTAATTAAATAAAATTTTTTTGGTCTGTCATATATATTTTTAATAAGTTAGAAAAAAATTTCGAACACCCGTTATATGCGAAACCCTAATGTTGTATTTTAGTTTATAATAGAAGGATGAGATACTGGATCCTGGCGCCGCGCTTTTCAAAATAATGACACGGGCCAGGCCACAGTCCCATCAGGGGAACTTTTAATTACCAACTGATAACCTGACTCTATTCGAAAAATATTGTCTTTCAACTCTTTTATTTTCATATACCCAATATATATTAAAGGTGTATATATATATAAAGGATCCATGTTAGCACTAATTTCAATTTAACCTTGACCTACTCCAATAGCTATATTATACCTACTATATATATATATATATATATATATAATTTATCTTTCAAAAATTACACATATATTCCATATTTGGAAATCAAATCAGACAGCTATAACACAGTAAATGACTGCATATATCAAAATAGGAACTAAAATTGAATGAAACTTTTTATATGCATTTTCTTATTCTTTATATGGGAACAAAAAATAAAATTACAAAATTACATGTTTAGCAAAAATAAAATATCTTAAATAGATTTTTGTTAGTAGGATGAAAATTCACATTGGAAATTTAAGGCTACTGGTTAATACATAAAAATTGAAGATGGAATCTGTTTTTTTCGTGTATATATGTGTGTTGTTGTTGTTGTTGTTGTTGTTGTTGTTGTTTGTGTTTCGTCACGGTTAGTTTTCATATTAACCGTGATTCATGACTTTTAAACCGCATATATGATTTTGTAGCACATGTATATCAACTTCGGCTTTATTTCAAGTATATAACTAACTGACCTAAAGACGTCAAGTGTTCATAAATTGTAAATGTTAGCAAAAGTAGCGAAGATTAAATCAGAAATGCATCTCAATATCTAATTGTTAAGTGCTCTTAATAATAAAGTTATCATGCATAATAACAGGTATTTAGGTATATGTTTATAAGGATAACAAACACATATACTATATTTATATGTATATAACTTAAGAATATGTAAATATACATGTATAGACCAACATTTACGTAGAAGCATATATATATACAACCGGAGAAAATTAGTGTCGAAAAAAGGGAGAAACGAGCAGCAGGAAAAAGAAGCTTCAGTAAAAAAAAGAGAACCAATTTTCTTGAAAAGTTACGATCGAGGAAAATTACAAAACTTTCAATATTTTCGGGAAAAATTATAGGAGATAGCGACGTGTTGTACCTATATATATATATAGAATAAAGGTAATTGTTGGATTAAATTTTTTTTTACAAAACTTATAGGGTATTAAATTCAAAGATTATAACTTTTATGGAAAAAAATTGTGTTATCTATATATGTACAAGTAGTTAAAAATAATATAAAGAGATTGGGGATAATTTTGACACCTTTATAAATTCTAAAGATTACTTTTAGATGAAAATGATCGAAATATTTTTTAAAAAATATTTAAGATTACGTAATTGTAGGTTTTTATTAATTTTTTGTTTCATATATATTAGATAGAATATGTATCTACACTGCAAAAAGAAGTATCTTATTATAAGACACATTGGAAGCAAGTTACCAAAAATATCTTCCTATCTATCTTATATCTTAATAAACTATTGCATTTTAAGATGTTTTTGATAACTTAGAAGCAGGTTGTAAAAAAACATCTTAAAAAGGCGATCAAAACATCTTAAAATAAGATACTTCTTTTTGCAGTGTATTCTTTTCGATTTTTATAAAACCAAAGGCAAAATATTAAACTACTGATTTAACTAATAAATAACACTATATAAAAACATTTTTTGTGTGATACTCAAATAAAACGACGCATTTTTGTGTTTAATACAGCCGCATGAAAAAAATGGTATTAAAAAATATCGCGAAACTTTCGTAAACTATATAGTTTTTCACTTTTTGGACTGTCCTCTAAAGTTTGGAAATCTTTCATTAACTTTTTCCAAGATTTCACGAACGTTCATCACTCTCTTTATGATAATCAATGTCTGCGTACGCGCACAAAAAAAATAGTTTGTGGAATCTTGAAAAAAGTTAATGAAAGATTTCCAAACTTTGGACCCGTCCAAAAGTGAACAACTATAGTTTACGAAAGTTTCACGAACTATTTTTTCGCGTGTACAAGAAGAATTTTTAATTATTTAAATGCGTTAGAAAAAATTTTAATATGATATTTAAAATAGCTTACACTAGTAGATTTATTTTTCTACGTGGAAGACTTTTGACACATTCTAAGTGAAATTTCACTTATTCAGATTTAGAGAGAATTAGAAAAACTGTGCTTTATATTATTGCATAAAAAAAGGGCCAAAATTTCCCCAAGTTTTACTTTTTTTCGAGAAATCAATTTGTTAACTTAGGACATATTACACGTAAAATGCCTCAAATAAGGAGCATGCGATTTTTCCCAAAAATTAAAAAGGTCGAAAATTTAATTGATCGAATTACATTAAGTCGATATTTTATTTGAACGAAATTCTAAATGATCGATATTTAAAATGGTCAACATTTTATTTGGTCGATATTTTATTTGGTGGATATTTTATTTGGTCGATATTTTATTTGGTCGATATTTTATTTGGTCGAAATTCTAAATAATCGATATTTAAAGTTGCCGATATTTTATTTAGTCAATATTTTATTTTATCGAAATTCTAAATGATAGACATTTATGAAGGTCGACATTATTAAAAGAAACTCAAAATCTTAAAAGATCCTTAGAGAGGTATATTAGCATTTTCAAAAGTTTAATTTTATCTAATATATAGTTAAGATTATTAGTTTGAAAGTTTTATATAAATATAGTTTTTAAAGGTTAATAAACAAATAAATTGTAGGTTAAATGTATTATTTAATAAATAATACTTAGCAAAAATTGACATTAAATTAAACCAAATTATATATTAAATAAAAATTAACGATTTATTCCTTAATAATTCATTATTTATTTCAATTTATTTAATTTATAGTTTGTAACAATGTGTAATTTTTAAAATTTACATGATTAGAATTATACCTAACTAATTTTAATTTATAAAAAAAATTACCACTAATTCGATAAATTTATTTGATTTATACTTTTTAACAATGTGGAATTATCAAAATTAACAATGGTTAGAATAATAAATAACTTTATTAATTTGTTAAAAGAATTATTATTTTTTGATAACAGTTATTAATATATTAATAGTAATTTATTAATCTTTTAACCATAAAAGTTAAAATCATTTTTCTACTAACCTCCGTTCAATTTTTACATGTTTGAATTTGCAAAACGAAATACTCGTGAAGCTCGCTCGGATAGCCGAGAAGATCGTTTTATTAAAACAAAACAAACTATATTCTCGGTTGTCAAAATTAAAAAGTCCGATTTTCTCGCTCGTTTCTCGGATCGTCTTGCTCATATGAATCACTATAAATGATAGAAATTTAGAAGCATCGAATTTTATATCCATCGAAATTTAATTTAGTCGATATTTTAAAAGCTCGACACTTTTTTAGCTATTACGAGTTTCCTTTCTATGTAGTTTGTCGGTAAAGCACACTGAAATTTTGCGGGAAAGAGACGCATGAAAATCCCCTAAACTTCATATAACAGAAATGCCATTTGACAGAAATTTATATAACAGAAATTTTATTGGACAGAATATTTACATGGCAGACAATTCATATAACAGACTTTTCATTGGACAGACGTTTGATTGGACAGAATTTTTATCGAACAGAAATGTTACTTAACAGAAATTTTATCTGACAGAATTTCCATTCAACAGAACATAAGTATAGCAGAACTCTAATTGGTCATA